AGACAGAGACAGACAGAGACAGAGACAGATTGAGAGGCAGAGGGAGAGGGAGAGGGAGAGGGAGAGGACGAGGGCGAGGGCGAGGGCGAGGGAGGGAGGGAGGGAGGGAGGGAGGGAGGGAGGGAGGGAGGGAAAGAGCGAGAGGGCGGTCAGATTGCCAATGAAAGTTTCGGCCGAGTGTGGCCCCGCGCTGCTTCAACTTGTCTCTGCTCATCTGTACACTGCACATGTCGCGTCTGGGGTGTGATTCTGGCCAAGACAACCCTCGGACATGCTTCTTCCTGTGCCCATGGTCTTCAGAAGCAGGTTAATCTTCACAGACGGCTTTTGACAATATACATCATCGCCACTATCCAGAAGTTACTTGTCGTGGCGATGATCCGCTTGATAGCCCTATGCTGTGATGTAATAAAACCGAGCAATGTCTCTTACTCTTATAACAGCACCTGGCCCACCCAGGGCCAAATCGAGACGCAGCGCCAATCGTTCCAGGACTCTTTGGGTGGGGTTGCTCAGGGTTCGATTCACTGATAACTGACAGTTTCTGTCAGAACGAGGATTCCCTTTAAACAAGATGCGGGGTACTCATACCATGTTCAGAGTCGACATTATGGGGTGAGGAATGATTTTGTGTCTGGGCTGGTGTCTGGGGGCTTGTTTATGGCAGGCGTACTCGTCGGTGACACTGCTTGAGCAGGCAAGCGAAGTAGCGGTGTGGTTGTGATGCTGTCATTGAGTACCCAATCAAAACGCAGCCTCAGAGCTTCAGGCCAGTCGAAAGCTGAAACCCTCAGTACTTACTGGGTCTCATCCGCAGTCGCAGCCCCCCCAGCACGCCCAAACTCTGATAAGACGCCCTCGGCAGAAGATGCCAAAACGGCCAAACCTACGAAGTGGCCACAGGCTGCCGGGCAAATGGATCTGAGACATCGGACCGAAATCCCCAGATTCCTGCTCCTGCAAGTGCTAGCCGGAGACTTCCCCGACCCGGAACATACTCGCCCCTCAGTAACAGCAACAGTGCAGATGGCAAGACTATTCACCTGACGAGCAGCCCCAGGACCAGTTCCGCAACGTCAGGGAGGAGCTCGGATGGGGATGCTCGTGAGCCTTCCAATTCAGAGTTCTTCACTGCTCGGCGGTGCATTTTGGAGCAGTTGGGTTCGATGGGATCTTCGATGGGTTCAGGGGGATGCCTACACTTTCATATGGGTGTAGGGTCTATAGGGCCGACAAGTGTAGCCCAACCAAGCAATTGGCCAAACAGGCCAACTGCCGTCACGGATATTTTGGGCTTGTGGGCTAGACTTCTCTGTGCTCCGGTCGTAGAAAGCTTGATCCTGGACCACTGGTCACGAATTTGACGATGATAATGATGATTGTCGTTTTTCTTAATTGTTTTCTTATCATTATTATTGTCACTACCATTGTTGTTGACATAGTCATTAGTACTAGTGGTAAAGAATTCCGATTCCTGAGTCCTAAGAAATGCTTAAACCCCATATATGTGCGGGTACCGGATCATCCTCAAACTTCGAAATCCCGACGTTCTGAAACCTTTAAACAGATCCTCTGTGCACCCTTATGCAATCCCATAACCACGCAGCAGTCCATCTAGAAACAGAAACAAGAACGCAGCCGGCTTGGATGACAGGACTCCGGAGGTCACGGCTGTATCCTAGGCGCGGCCAGCTGCATGACTTTTTGCTTTAAGCAAAGAGCGAAAGACTAATTGAGTTCGTCTCCCCGCTCTTGCGTGGTGGATGTGTTCGCCGGTGTCCGTGTATATGTACATACATAACACCATGTGTCTATATATATATATATATATGTAGGCTACATGTAGGTAGATAGATATGTGCTACCTCTACCAATAAACTTGGTTTGTTGCAAAACGGTGCTGGTCCAAAGCCGTAAAGCCGAAATGGCTACAAGCCTTTGATGTTGTCATGGATGCTCTATCAGGTGGCTGTGGACAGGCGGACATTGTAGGCTCTCGGGAAACCTCCGGCAACATGAGACTTGGACTTTCGTTAAGTTTTCGGCCAGCGATTTCGAGTTGTCCCAGAGGAATTGAGGACAGGGCTTGGAAAGTCGAAGGCCGCTTGCTGTGCCAGATCTTGTGACGTTTTGAGTCTTGACAAAGACTTTTGAAGTCAACCAAAATTGGTCAGGACACTTCTCTGAAATATGATTCGTGTGGAAGCGTAGAGGCTTCTGCCGTCTGCTGGCTCGACCGCTCCATCAGTCGAGGAATCTGTTCCCCTGTACATCTCCAATTGCTCTGCCTTGTGTCTTCCTGCTTGGTTATTACTGGGCTCAATCCCGAGCATACATCTAGAATGAGCAAGTCTGACGAAGCACTGGCATTTATCCCCACGGACTTCTTTCGCTTGCCAGCATGGAGCAATGAATTGCTTTTGCTTGAATCAGCTTGCGGAAGACGAGTTTCTGCAACTCAGTGAATCTGTGCATTCATGTGATGAAGTCTGAATCGCAACCAAGGAGTTCGATGTCTCCGAACAGCAGGCATGCTGCTGACATGTCTGCCACAAGCGAAAGTGGTTACTTTGGGTTATGTTGCTGCGACTCAACGAAAGCTCCCTGAGATGGGTTCGCGGCCTCGGGTTTGGTCAGTTTCAGAAACTTTCAGGTTCTTCATCCGCTATTTGCATCCAGTCCGCCCTGCCACGTGCAGCCGTGGGTTTCTCATGTGCCATGGAGCCTTGTGCACTCCTCACCATCACATCTTTGCACAATCTGCCCATCATCTAATGGGTCGAGCTTCCGCTCATTTGCAGGCTCTAGCGGCAAATAAAGCCGCTGATCTTGAACAGTATGCTCACACAACATTCACTCCTGTTTGCGTTTTCGTTGAGGTATCATGTTCACCCAATCCAAGCTCACGCATTTGTCGTGTGGAAAACTTTCCATGCTACCCTGTGCTTGGTACGTTGCGATTTCTTTTAAACTGGGTTTCTCGACATCATGTATGTTGGGATGCCAGGGCTGCCGGCAGCCACAACTCTCTGACGGTCTTGGAGAAGGCATCCGGATGCGGGGTTCTAATTATGAAGGCCCCTATATTAGCATCCTCGCGACACGACGGCCCGTTGTCTTTCTGCAAAGCCTAGGCTTCGTCGGCTTCGTAGCGACCCGCCAAATGGGGCCCTGTCTATAAACCCTTGCAGGAACCCTCTTCGAAATCCTTTTGGTAACTTCTATAGAATTGTAGAAACGGTCAGCAAGCCCCAAAGTGACCTGCTAGGAGATTGCAAGTCAGCCGCCTCGTTACATGGCAGACGCCCAGGCCTTGGTCTGCATTTAGGGCCTAGGGTTATCAGGGTTTAGCGCTGTTCGGGCTATTTGGACCTTGCACACTTTTCGGCCACTGGGACTCCTAGCTCAGGGTGTGACATGATGTAAATGCAGGCCTACTGAGAATGCCGGATTTCAGGCTTTGTTTGGGGCTTCATGATTTGGAGGTGCAGGGCGCCGGAACCTTTACAGTGCGGTTTTCCTCTTCTACCGGCTCGTGGGTTTTGCTCTGCAAGCCGGCTTTAATCAGGGCTCTGCTACCAGTTGCTGTGAGATGCCCAGGGCTCCACATTTTCGCAGATGCCGGCCGCAGAGATCCAGGAGGAAGGCAAATGTACAACATGCTTCTGATGGTCGCAGCCTGCTCACTTTTGTACAGTCATTCCAGAGTCCCAGAGGGAGCAGTCGGTTTGTCTTTGGTGCCAGACATGCCTTACGGAAACACAAGTCGAGCACTGTTCCCTCCAGATTGTGGGCCAGTCCCGCTCCTTCGAGACTTCAGTCCAGGGCGGCTATGCATAACAACCTAGACCTAGACTGAGTGGCCGAAAAGCTTTATGCCTCAGAGATTATGCACTGTTCTCGCTCATTGATATCTGTCCACTCCGCATTGCTACTGTCGGCTCGATTTTACAGAGATGCAGACCATGGCAGACCACCTAGATGCTGGAAATACTAGCTGATGTGCAAAGACTGCACGCCACTTCATCTGCGGGTTGCAACTTAGCAAGTGCGTGTAACCGACATGTCAAGGGATGTTGCAGCAGTGTCAGCACCTGAAAACGATGTAAGTAGCGTGCCCACTTGCTATTACGTTGGCTCAGGGGCGCCATCCTTTTTCAGCGTTCTGTTGTTGAACAGGCAGATCTGTTGCAACCTCCAGCCAGCCTCACTGCCGGCTGCATGGTCCCACCCTTTGTTTTGCAACTCAGGTTCGCACACTTGTGCCGCAGAGAGTGTAAAGGGCGCGATGCTATCGAGAGCTGCCCGGTGGTGCAAACCTGGGGTATTCGGAAAGGCTAACCGCAGATGCTGTCATTCAGAAGAGGGTTATTATCAGTAGAAGTGGCAGAGGGAGATCGGGCAATGGTAGTAGCATGATTGGTTGTTCTGTTTACTGATGTTGGTACTAGTTGAAGAATATTGTTTAGTCTTGGTAATGGCATTAGTCGTTGCCATAACTGCAGTCGCGGTCGTTGTTTCAGTCGCTGTTGTCGTCGTCGCAGCAGTAGCAGCAGCAGGAGGAGGAGGAGGAGGAGGACGAGGAGGAAGGAGGAAGAGGAGGAGGAGGAGGAGGTGGAGGGGAGGAGGAGGAGGTAGTAGTAGTAGTAGTA